TGTAACATCCCAAGCGCTGACGAGGGCGGGGAGTGATCACTGGTACGAAAGGGCACAACCAATGAGCGACTCCTGACAAACTTCCAGCAGGAAGATACATGAATGAATCGAATCGACACCCGAAAGAGAGAAAATCCAAAGACTGTGCAGGTATGAGAATGCACAGTTGGGGATAGCTTATAAGACTAACTATACTAACAAGATGCATCTACTTTTTGGTAGCCCGAAATGAAATAACTCCATAATTAAACGTGCTTGACTTGCAGTAATTCTGGGATGGGTGGCTTCCTGGGAAGTTTTTCCAGAAATTGTGTGAGTGAGGAAAAAACTTACTGAAAAGTCTCGTGTTAGTATATGGAGATAGTCATTGATTCTTGAAGAAGCCGGGCGTTACAGTGTGCTCTCCCATAGAGTCTCCTGAACTAATCCATAGTCGTCTGGTTCATCCAAGTCTCTCCAAGCTTCACCATATGGTTCCATTTTTGTCTAGTCTTTAGTCTTTAAATTACCAGTCTTGTCAGCAAGGAAAGCACACTTGCTCCTCCTTTGCTAATAGAGTCAATAAAAGAGTTTATTCTGCCTTTTCTATTGTTCATTCTAATACTTGGGGTCTGAGTCGAACTATGCTTGCTTTGGTTTTTCAGTATTTTGTGACTTTTATTGATGATTTTCTTGTTGTACTTGAGTTTATTTAATGAAAAATCATTCTGAATTATTTCCTATCTACCAAAACTTTTGTGCTGAGAGTAATACTTAATTTGGTGTTTCTATTTGAGTCTTGAGTAGTGATAATGCAAAATAGTACATGTCTCTTGAATTTTCTGATTTTTTGAAGAAATATAGGACGTTACACCAGACTATATGTTCTTATACTCCACACCAAAATGGAGTGGTCGAACGTAAAAATAGATATCTGGTTGAAATTGCTCGTACCCTTCTCATTCATTTGAATGTTCCACTATGTTTTTGGCAGATGCTATTATGACATTTTATTTTCTCATTAATCGCATGCCCTCTTCCGTGCTTAATAATGAAGTCCCACATAATGTCTTATTTCTAGGTGCGCCTCCTTATCCACTGCCTATGTATGTATTTAGGTGTACTTTCTTTGTTCATAACGTCACTCCGGGAAAAGACAAATTAACACCCAAAGCCTTCAAGTGTATCTTCCTTGGTTATACTCGCTTTTAAAATGGATATCATGGCTACTCTACTGACCTCTAGCGCTATAATGTGTCTGCCTATGCCATCTTCATGGATCATCAACCCTTCTCTAGTTCCCAAATTTTTGTGTCACAGATTGATCATATTTTTCCAATTTCCCTTGTTGATTTGTCTTTACCAGTTGCAGGTGTCGGCCTTACTGCAGACCTTACTCTGACTAACTCACCACCCTAAACGGTTGTCTCTTCCCCCTCTGAAACCTTCATGAGAGATTACTCATATTGCCCATCGCAAAGGTATACGGTCTACTCGCAAACCTCATTCACTTTATGTTTTATTGAGTTATGACTGACTTTCTTCACAATATTTTACCTTTCTGTTTCCATTCCTAAGACCACAAATGAAGCACTACCTCACGCGGGTTGGCGCCAAGCGATGATTGATGAAATGACGACACTTCACTTCATTGGCACATGGGATCTTGTTCATGCTCTTCCCGGGAAGTCGGTTGTCGTTTATCGATGGGTATTCACAATCAAAGTTGGTCCTGATGGCACCGTTGGTCACCTCAAAGCCCGCTTAGTGGCCAAAGGATACACTCATATTTTTGGCCTTGACTATGGGGACATTTTCTCTTCTGTTGCCAAGATGGCTTCTGTTCGCTTATTTCTTGCACTTGCTACCATTCATCACTAGTCTCTCTTTTAGCTTGATATAAAAAATGCCTTCTTACATGGTGATTTGCAAGACAAAGTATACATGGATCAACCACCTGATTTTGTTGCTCAAGGGGAGTGTTCTGGAATGGTATGTAAGCTTTGTAAATCCTTATATGGCCTGAAGCAGTCTCCTCATACCTAGTTTAGTCGCTTTAATTCTGCTGTTCAAGCCTTCTATCTAACCCGGAGTGAATCCGTTCATTCTATTGTCTATCGGCATAGCTCTTCTGGTCAGTGCATCTACCTTCTGGTCTATGTTGATGACATCATTATTACTAGCAATGATCAAGCTGAGATTGATCAGTTAAAGAAATACTTATTTAGTCAATTTCAGACCAAAGACCTTGGCAGACTTCGTTATTTCTTAGGGATCGAAGTGGCACAATCCAGGCAGGGCATTTCCATTTGTCAAAGAAAGTATGTCCTGGATATCCTAGAAGAGATTGGTATGTTGGGTTGTAATCCTATTGATACACCTATGGATCCTAATGTTAAGCTATTACCCGGAAAGGGGGAGCCATAGGCAGACCCTAATCATTATTGCAGATTAGTTGGAAAAATGAACTATCTTATTGTGACAAGGCTAAACATATCTTTTGCAGTTAGTGTGGCAAGTGAATTCCTTGACTCTCCTTGTGACTCTCATTGGGGTGCAATTGTTAGGATTTTTTGATACATCAAAAGAGCATTAGGAAGAGGTTTATTATAACAAATAAAGGGAATACAGAGGTGTGTAGCTATTCAGACGCTAACTGGGCAGGATCTCATTCAGACAGACGCTCCACTTTGGGGAATTGTGTTCTCCTTGGTAAAAATTTGATCTCTTGGATAAGTAAGAAGCAAATTGTGGTAGCCAGGTCAAATGCAAAGGTAGAATATCAGGCAACGGGAAATGCAATCTGTGAGCTCATCTGGTTAAGGCAATTGATTAAGGAACTACGTCTCTGTGAACAACGACCTATGAAACTCATTTGTGACGATCAAGTCGTATTGAACATATCCGCTAATCCAGTCTTTCATGAGAGGACCAAACATATAGAAATTGACTGTCATTTCGTTCAAGAAAAGATTCAGTCGGGAGAAATCAAGATAACATTTGTCAATTCGAGTGATCAACTTGCATATATTTTCACCTAGGCTCTTAGAGGTCCACAAATAGATCATATATGTAACAAGCTTGGAGCTTATGATATATCAGCCAGCTTGAGGGGGAGCGTTAGAAATGTTGCATGCATATATTACGTTATTATTTGTAAATATTTATTTTCTTATTTCATTAGGATTTGGGTTAGGTCTGAGCTTCTCCTTTAAACCATTAGGGTCTCTATATATTGTACACATTTATATCAGTTCAATACACAACATACAATATTCATATTTCCATATTCTCAAGTGACTTGACTACTTGTATTCTTAAGTTGAATGTAGAGCCAAAAAAATGATTTTAAAGAAATTGCTAAAAACCAAACTAAACCAAACCAAAATCATTTGCGTACAAAAATGATTTACGAGATAAGTTTGACTTAGTTATGGACCATTTTTTTTATAATTATATATTATATTATTTACATTCTACTTTAATTAGTTATTTTTTTAAAATTATTTTAAACATATTTTGTTTTGAATATTTCATTTTTTACTTAAATTTTTTTAAATTTATGTCATATACGAATACTTCTTAATGCTTATAATCCTTATCCTTTATGAGAAAAACTTCAATGCACGAGAATCACCGAACTCGGTGCTTCCTTTTACTAAAAAATAAATAAATTTAAGACTTAAAAAAAATATAAAAAAATATGGGTAAAAAGGGAATTTTTTTTTTCCTTTTTAATAAAAGGAAGCACCGAGTTCGATGATCCTGGTGCACTGAAGTTTCATCCTTTATGGCTTGAATGATCAAATAACGAATTTATTTTAAGTTAATTTAATGTAATTTATAAATTAACTTTTTGTCGCTGGAGTTTATTATAAAAAAGTAAAATTTAGGTTATTATGAATTTTTTTGGGTATATAGATTATCATGAATTTAGAATTTATATATTTCTCATGTTGCATTGTTGAATGAGATATAGAAAATTTGTATCATATAATACACAAAAAATAGGTGAAATCCACTAAAAAGATGAAAAAGAAAGAAAAAATAAATAAATCTCACTCACTTTTTGTGTATTGCATAAAACAAAATTATCTCAACGCAATATAACAAATATATTTTCCTCTTTTTATCAATATGCTTGAATGAATACATGTAAAATGTTTAGTTCAAATAACTTCAACGATATTCAAATCAAAGCCCGTTGAATTTGACTAGATTTATGTTCATTTTTACACATATACAATCAAAATGTAATTTTTTTTGATAAAATCTTATAAAAACAACTAATTTATAACAAGTTTATACATAAAATCAAAATTATCTAAAACAAATTAACTTATTTTGTAAATTCTTAAACTAAAAATCTAATTCATAACTTAATTATTTTCACCTACCAAGATTTTTAAAACTCAAGTATATGTCTGGATGAAAGAATTTGAAAGTGCAGAAAAAAATCTTCATTTCAATTTTTTAGTAAATATGATTCTTATGTGTGATATGATATTATGTCTACTTTTTTTATACTTATTCTAATTGAGATCCTGAGATAATAATTTTGGAAATTAATAAGTTGAGTAAACATAAAAAAAAGTAGATATAATATTTTATCTAGTAAGTTGAAGAAGTTATACTTACTATCTCTTACTACTAAATTTTAACGGTTGATTTCTGTCAATCTAACGGTTATAATATATTAGGTCATATTTATTAATTAATTATTAAATTTTAATAAATTATAACCATTGAATTAACGAAAACCAATAATTAAAAATTAATAGTAAAAGATAATAAAAGGAAAGAACGAAAGTAATTGTAAACTTTCCCAACTCCTAATTATTCCCAAGTATCTGTTCTTTATTTGAATAAAAACATTTGCTAATGAAACGGCGCGTTAAGAGACATGTTACTCCATCGTGTTAGGGTTTTGCAGATTTACATGACCTCCATTTTCTTCACTGCCACACTTCACAGTAGTAACCATGCACTGGTGGAGCTCGCAATGACGCAATTTCTCGACGCGAGCTTCAATTTCTCGTTGACCCACACTAAATTATCGCGCGACACGGTACGGTTTTTTGTCCCTTGATTTTCTCATCGAGCATCATCTAGATTCGTTCTACTTTGCTTGGTTAGGTTTTCGGTTGATGAACCTTTCCTCGAACCGTTAGCACAATGAGCTTCTCGAAGCTGCCATCGCGAAGAAAAAAACCGATTCTCTTATTGCGAAAATCGCTTTTGCTTAGTGTTTCAGCGTTTCAGAAATGATAATGATGGGTTCGAACCATGAATTCAATAACCCTTTTAGTTCATAGAATGGTTCAGAAAATTTCTCATTGTTTGAACATTTCGCGGAAATTATGTGACCAACCGTTTCACAGTGATGAAGGGGTTGTTAGAAGCGGTTATGAATTGGTTGAGGAGCCTTTGAAGAAAATGTTTGTAGCTACGTGTGAAAGCGTTGATTATGATAGAAAGCAAAATTTACATTTTAGAGATGGGTTCTTAGAAAGTGTAAGGATGGATGTGGAGAGGGTTCTTGAGGTTTTTCATAAAGATAGCGTTGAATTTGATTTTCGGGTGGCCTTAGATGAGTTGCGTGTGAGGCCGTCGGGAATTCTTGTGAGAGAGGTCTTATATGGGGTGTTGAGAGAGGTGAACTGTGAAAATAAGGGCAGGTGTGCTAAATTGGCGTTTAAGTTTTTCGTGTGGTGTGGTCAGCAGGAGGGTTACTGGCACACTGCCAATTCGTATCACTTGGTTATGAAGATATTCGCGGAGTGTGAGGAGTTTAAGGCAATGTGGAGGCTTGTTGATGAGATGATTGAGAGAGGTTTTCCGGCCACTGCACGGACTTTCAACATTTTGATTTGTGCTTGTGGGGAGGCAGGTTTTGCTAGGAAGTTGGTGGTGAAGTTCATAAAGTCGAAGTCGTTTAACTACCGGCCTTTCAAGCACTCATATAACGCGATTCTCCATTGTCTTCTCGCTTTGAAGCAGTACAAGTTGATTGAGTGGGTTTACCGACAGATGTTGCTTGAGGGTCTTTCCTCGGATGTATTAACTTATAATATTGTCATGTTTGCTAAGTACAGGCTTGGGAAGTTGAATCAGTTCCACAGGCTGCTTGACGAGATGGGTAGAAATGGCCTTTCTCCGGATTTTCATACTTATAACATTCTTCTTCATGTTCTTGGTAAAGGAGACAAACCACTTGCTGCTCTTAATCTTTTAAATCGCATGAGAGAAACAGGTACAGAGCCAACTGTTCTTCACTTCACCACGTTGATAGATGGACTGAGCAGAGCTGGAAATTTGGATGCTTGCAAATATTTTTTTGATGAAATGATGAAGAACGGGTGCGTGCCGGATGTGGTGGCATACACAGTAATGATCACAGGATATGTGGTGGCTGGTGAGCTTGAGAAAGCTCAGGAAATGTTTAATGAGATGATTTTTAGAGGGCAAATCCCAAACGTATTTACATACAATTCTATGATTCGAGGATTATGTATGGCGGGAAAGTTTGATGAAGCATGCTCAATGCTCAAGGAAATGGAGACCAGAGGTTGTAGTCCAAATTTTGTTGTCTATACTACGTTAGTGAGTAGTCTGCGGAATGCTGGAAAGCTTGCTGAAGCTCATCAAGTGATAAGACAGATGATGGAGAAGGGGAAGTATGTCCACCTTCTTTCAAGGTTCAAAGGGAAAGGACATAAGAGATAGTCAGATGGTAGATTGTCTGGTTGGTGATATCAACTCATGGGGCATCAATTTATTCATCTGGTTAACTGAGACCAATTACCTGCTGGTGTAGAAGCTGGAGAAATAAAGTATGTGATTTCTTCCTTCTAATATATATTTCTTTCAATCCTCAATAACTGTCATGTAAACCTGTAACCCCATCTTTTTCATAATACATTATCAATTTTGTTTGTTATGTGTGTTTAGCATTCATAATATTACTGTTTTAGTCAGCTGACTCAGGTCTCAAACTGGCAGCAATTTTAATAGTACTCTGAAGTTGCAGATGACTATGTAGTGTCGTAATAATAATATAAATTCAATAAACATGTTGGATATACTCAGTTCTATATTATTGCTTGCAGATTTTGAACTATTAAGATTGAAAGCAATTGGAGCAATGAGTTGTTGTTGGTCACCTGGTTCATTGGTCAATTTCCTCAAATCTGAAGCAGGCGATAACAGCATAAAATTGCGCTAAATACTATTGCCAAGAGCTAGATGTGCAGTATTTCATTTTGTTTCTTTCCACACACATGCTTAAGTTGGTTGCTTTGCTTCTGGCGCTTCAAAGACAGCCATTTTGTCTGCTCTCTTGTTCCGGATGAACATTGAGAAGCGTATCCTGTTACTGTTTGATTATTGTTTGGCTGGCTCATTTGTTGGCAAGATATCATGTGCTGAGTTAACTGTAACTCATGATAGGCATCTTCTGTCATCATCCAGAATGTAGCGAGCAGTGTGTGCTGATTCTCAACACCTAGATGCCATCCTAGACATGTATGAATCCTATTGCGGTTTTGCCTATGCAATATGCAGTATTCACCTTGCAGGACATGCTCTATTGGATGCTATTTCTGACATATCTGAATGCTATTGCTTGTGCAGTATGCTATATGCACCTTGCACTACATGATCTATTGCAGATAGATACCACCCTCTTTTTTGGCCTCGGAAAAGTAAAAACACTTCCTTCTGTATAACAATTTACAAATAGGATTGAAGATACAAAGTGGAAAGCAATTTTCAAACCTGATAGTTCTGTCAACCTTATTAGTGCAAGCTTTAACTTTGAAACCTATGCAGTTGTTTTTGTTGTACGCCAACTTCCATTACCTATTATTTGTTTCGAAATTTCCTAGGTAGAAATCACAAATGTGTGATTTTTGTATACGCATTCTTCTGCTAACCTAATGAGATTGGAAGCTGAGAAACAGTCCAATGATCCCTAATGATGACTTTTATGTAATTGCATACTTCATGATATTCATTCAACTGTTTGCCTCAAATTTCCTGGATAACTGTCTTCCATCTTCAATTTTCATTTATATACAGATGTCTTAATTCTTTCTGATTCATATGGCAAGTGATTCTTTCAGGATCCACGGAGGCCCAGATAGTACTTGTTTAATTAGTTTGATACATGCTATTGAGTAGATTAGGGATAGTTTGGTTTAGCTTTTTGGCTGCTCAGAATCACAAACAGATTCCTAGAGTAAACAATGTTGTTTAGGTGGATTTCTGGCACCGAGTAGAATCAATTCTCGCCATCTAGAATTAATATAGTACTATTGTATACATTATATTTATGCAAATATTTGCCCCCAGATCTGCTGGATAAATGATATTTTTAATCTGCAATTTCATTTATATACATGTCTTCAATCTGAGTCTTTGCCTCTGATTTTTCTTGCTAGTGATCGTTGCATGATCCACGTAAAGTCCCAGATTGTGTTTGTTTAGTTAGTTTGATACATGATGTGGAGTGGATTAGTGGCTGTTTGGTTTAGCTTTTGGGAGGCTTTGAACCACTAATAAGATTCCCAGAATGAACAATTTTTTTCATTGAGATGTATCCATTCTCACCACCGAGAGATTTTTTTTCTTAAAGCAAGGATGTTGTACCTTTTCCATTCACTAATTTGCTTTACTCACATCAAATATAAACTTCCCGTTTTACCAATGGTCAGTGGGGACACTAGCGTTGCTGCAAAGAAGTGATCCTGTGGGGGTGTGTTCACCAATTCCGATTCCCCATCCGTTTTTAATCCTCTTTTTTGTAATTTTGTAATTTCACCTCTCATTTTCTAAATAAAATAAAATTGTATAAAATGAAGGTTTCTTTTCTTCTGTACCCTTCCTTTCTTAGAGGGTATTGGTTTTTTAAAAAAATTAGTTGCAAATAGGTGTTCTACTTGATTTAAATATAAAATACAAGTTATTTTTATATTTATATTTCAATCAAGAGAGTTCTATATATTACCAAAAGTACAGTATCCTCATAAATGCGAAGAAAGATTTTAAGATAAAAATAAGGATATGATATTTTTCATGATGTAGGAGATAAATTTTTTTTTTACATATATATAAAAGTATATGAGGCCTATGTGAGTTTTTTGACCACTGTAGTCCTTTATTAATAATTAATTACCAAATTACCTTTGATTAGAAACTATTTCGAAAAATTAACCCTTCCAAAAAATATAACACCAATCTGCCCCTGTTTTTTGAAACTTACCCGAATATCCCCTTCCCTACTCGGGTATTTTTTGAAAATTCAACCCTACCCGGGTATAGAGGGGGATACCCGGGTATTGTTCTTAAATCTGGAAAAAACTTGAATTATTTACACGGGTAGGGAGGGCGATACCCGGGTAGATTTCGCGAATAGGGTTTTTTAAAAACCTAACAGCCCCCATTTCGAAAACCCACAAAGGGGTACCGGGGTAGAGAGCTGCTGGAGTGCGATTTCGTCCATTCTCTGAGCACATTTGTTGGATTATCTTAAGATTTTCGGATCATCCTTGGCGCACAGTATTGGTTCCTTCTACCGATTGAAATACAAGAAATGTAATTTTTTTTTCGTTTGAATTTTTGATTCGGCATAAAATTCATTCTGACTTTGCGGTAATCATGTTTGCATTTTAATTTATTGCTTTGCGTATTGTGAATTTTCATTTTCAAATTGCATTCTGATTTGTTGCCAATTAAAAACCCTAACCCTAACCCTGACCCTGACCATAACCCTAACCCTGTATATTGTTTCTGAATTTGGATTTTTATTTTGATTTTGTTTTACAGTGTGATTGCATGGCGAAGAGGCACGTTTCGAAGAAGAGAGCGGTGGATACTGAGGGGAGGAGCAAGCGCCGACATGATGGGTCTTCCTCCTCTTAGCCCCAGGCTACTGTGCATCAGGCTCCGGACTTGCCGTTCGGATATTTATTTGAGGATGACACTGATGCACACGAGAGGTTTGTGAAGTCATTCACGAGCCGCAAGATTTGTGAGCCGAAATCACTGGATTCGACATTCTTAAATTTGGAGCGGTTCGACATAGTCCCACTTCTTCAGCAGACACACTTGCTGGTGCTAGCGGAGATGAGGTGCCCCTACTCAGAGGTTATGGTGAGAGCATTCTACCAGAACCTTAACTATATGCATGGTGAGATGACTTCCTGTGTCTGCGGGATTGATATCATCCTTATTGCACCTATCTGGACAGAGCTATTGGGGTTCGACTTTGATGGTGTCACAGGTGCATCCCTATATGACGGAGATAGCCATCATATATTTGGTGGTTATGATCGGGATGCTGTTGTTGCTGAGACCAGGAGAGCAGATGCAGAGGCCGGACAATTTGCTCATTATCCTGTGAGTAATTTGTCCGTGTCTGCCCGCATACTTCATTATGTCGTGATACATATTACTTTCCAGCGCGGGCATAATCACTCGAAGGTGCTGGAAGGTGACTTTGTGATCTTGTGGGCCCTCCTTCACCATATTGAGGTGAACTGGAGGCATTACATATGCATATTGATGTGGAAGGCGGCCAAGTAAAGAAGGCTGAATTGCCTTTTGCATTTCTGGTGCAGAAGATTTTGCATAAATTTGGTGTGCCTATGGCAACAGAGACCATGAAGACAGCCACAGGCTGGAATGCTATATTTGGTGAGCGGCTCCTGAAGCAGTGTGGGATTTTGCAGAGCCGAGCGGGTACCTAGTACTGGAAGAGGGCACCAGAACCACCTGAGATTCCACTCCACCATGATGTTGAGATGGAGGATGCACCTGCAGGTTAATGTATTTTGGGTTTAGGGTAGCAGTAGGGTTAATGTTTTTGCATAACGAAATTTTAATGTCTGATTTTTATGATGTTGATGCAGGCCTTGATGATGATGATAAAGATGATGTTACTGCTGTTGATGATGCACTTGCACGTCCCACCCGCATCCGGCGACCACCAGCTCCTCCATCTCTTGAGGGTGGATGGACAGCTCCTGAGGGAGGATGGACACTTGATCATGTGATGTGCTCCATGTATAGCCTGACATGTGGCCTTGACTCCTTGACCATTGAGTTTAGGGGCTATAGACAAAGCACAAGCAAGTGGAGAACCACGATCGAAAGCAGGGTGACACGCTTGGAGGCTGGATACAGACCGGGTCATCACACTGGTGAGGAGGCTGATGTTGCTGGTGAGGATGACGATGATGAGGACGATGATGGGGAGGATACGCAATCGGATTCCAGGCAGTAGGGTTTAGGGTGACATGGCTGGGGTAGATTTGACTTGATGTATTTTGTGTTTGTTAGGCTATACCTTGGATTATTGTGTATGTATCCAGCGCATTTTTGGTGATATTGGATTTTATCTCATGATGTAATTGTGTCTATTTTGAAATATATGAAGAACCCATTTATGAAAATTGTCTATTTTTAACTTGTATTGTATTGTCCACCTTTTGAATGAAATTCGAAGTAAATTCTGTTGTATATTTTTAACTTGGATGTCCACAATCACAACGAAAATTGTCTACTCATAATTGTAAACCTCAGAATTTCATTCGCACACATTATCTTAACCGATTATAGTATGTGCTCAATTCTGTTATCAACAAGTCATATTATATCTTATTATCAGATAACATGGACCACTAATGCCAAAAAGAGGGTGGACCAGCTGCCGATCTTGCAAAACCAACTGGTGTACCCGGGCAACTCGTTCTGGTGTACCCGGGCAAGTAATTATGAGTTACCTGGGTAGACCAGTTGGTTCTGCAACATCAGCAGTTGGTCCACCCTCTTTTTGGCAATTTTAGTGATTGTTGTCTAATACCATACCCTTATGCGACTCAACCTGGGGGTAATGGGATATGGTATACATTCGTGGGATCGTTTAATACCATAACCAAATGGTACACATAGTTGTCTCAACCATACACAAATGCAACAAAAGACTTAAATGAAAGTTAGGGTTTAGGATACCATAACCATTACACAACAACACAAGTGGATGTCCTCACACAATGCAACACAATACATAAATGCATAGTCATTACAAAACAAAATACAACACATTACATTACACAACGAAGTTCATTTCATAAATGCCAATCATGCTTGTCTTAGCCTCGATGGACATGTACGAATGTTGTGTCCAACTTGCTTGCAATGCTTACATCTGTTGTGACTGCTCGAGGGTTGAGACTCAACCCAATCCATCTCATTCTGAATCCTTGAAGACTTTGGTCTTCCTTTTGTGCGTACCAACCGCACATCCGAAATTACAGTAGGCCCAACAACGGATGGAATCAACAGTTCATTGCCAATAGGATACCAGTGTACAACATATACTTTAGTAATGGTTAGGATTTTGAAAACAGGATCCACATAATCATAATGGTTCAACTTAGCTGCCTTGCAAACTGCTAATACATGGCTGCTAAGTACACGGTAGAATACATACTCATAATAGCCGCACAAATGACATCTGAATCCAACTGTGTATGATCCTATGATAGGCCCTGATTCAGGCATGTGTGATCTTGACCCCATTTACGGACCACTCAATTAGCTCCCTTCTTGGGCTTGATTTCCCTCATATACCAGGGACAACTGTCAGCATGGTTTCTACATTTTATAACAAATCTTGACTCGTCGCGTTTTTCGACTATGGCTGTCCTGCGCCCCTTCATACAATGTATCTTCACAGCATGTTGCATTTCAGGTTTGGAGCCAAATTCTTGTTGCACAAATAATGGATCTCCTAACTTCCAACCTCTGTGCAAGTCATCATCCCCATAGAGGATCTCCAACTCATCATTAGGGTGCGCCCAATTAATGAATGAGTAATGTTGGCTTTCATTCCAAAATGGCTCTACCGCAGTCCCTGCATCTAAAGCTTCATCATTATTGTCTGAATCAATACCACCGCAAATAATAATTGTTTAAAGCAAATGCCTAAATTTAATAACTTACCACTAC